CCAACTGGAGGCACTTAAGGAGTGAAAAGCTGAGAGTTTTGTGGATTTTATCAGATAAATGTTCTTTGTGTCTGAGGTGCCCTATTGGCATTAGTTACTTATTTATTTCATTATTATCCAACACATAAGCATGCACTGTCATGCTTTATGACTTAAGATATTTTGTTCACAAGGCTTTCAGACAGAGATCTACAAAGCTACAAAGACTTCAGTGCCCAAATTTATGTCCCAATAAAGCAGAAAAAATGGGCCTCTCAAGCACATGTACAAGTCTCTGCAGAATTTGGGTCCCATATTTAATACTACTGCTGGTTTCAGAGAAGGAGCAAAGGAGTAAGATTAAAAATTTAGGTAGAAAGCATTAATATAAATGCAAAAAGATGTAGAGGTGAGGTGATTGCTTAGTGCATTTTTAATTCTGCTGCATGTAGGCAGGTCACTGAGCAGCTCAATTTTCCATGTTCATTCAACAGCAGTAATGGCTACAAAAAGGCTGCTGTGTTTGCATAGTCATTGCCATTCACCCCCCTGGTCTCTCTAGTGTGGGATCACTGTTCATCTTGGAGGCATCCTGAAAACCGGATATTTGATGATAGTGTAGGCTGGGGATTTCCTCATCTCATTTCATGCACAGCCAGTCTCAGAGTAAATAGATACTGCCGGCTGTGCAGTCCCGGCAGGGCAGAAGGTAGCTTGTTTTACTTCAGAGACGAACTATTGAAAAAATCGAATTTGTATTCTCACGACTGATCTAGATACTACTTTTGTGAACATGTTATCCATGGCCATTTTCACAGAGCAGAAAATTAATGTCAGAATATTGTTATCATGTGAGTAAAGGTTTTATATTCAAATTATCCCAGACAGATATGCAAAGTTGCAAATATTGTATGAAAAGCTGCCAAAGCCTAATGCCCTATTTTTAGGAAGCTAAGCATAGAGCTTTGAATAAAATTATGATTTGCATTTGAAATTCCGGAGATAACAGAAACTGGCTAAAAATGTAGGCCACAATTTATGCATCAAAAGTGCTGTGAGTAACTGATGTGTTTTGCTGTTTTGTAGCAATCTGAATTCATACAGATCAGGTTTGGACCTTTAAGTCAGAAAGTCCTATGGATAGATTAGGTGATAAACCTCTAGAAACCAACAGCATGCCAGAACTATTTGTTAACATAAACCATCCTTTTGTCCACTTCTCCGTGCATTATGGCTGTTTCCCTCTTATTTTCAATCTGTGTTCAGATGGCTGGGAGGTCATCTGCTCAAGGTGAGCATGTAATGACATCTTTTGTTGCTGGAATAGCTAGTGAGAGGCAATTTCAGGCAGAAACCCTGGGAGCAGTTCAGTGAAAGGATAAATTGTTTCTCCTGTAGGGAGTGTAATTTTTTTGTAAGACTATGAATGTTTGCTCAGATTGAGTTCCAGGTTACAATAACCAGTAAAATAAGCATATTTGGCTATTCATAATGTGACCAATGCCAAAAGGCATTTTTGACTAGCACAGAATTATCCTCAGCAGTGGTTGTGCTCTGGCAGAGGAACCAGTAACTTAAAGTAATTAGAAATTAAACTTTTGCCAGTTTAGCAATGAAGCCCTAAAGCCACCTTTGCCTGATGATCTTCTACATAGGTACCCAGGGTCAGCCAGGTAGTTACTAGTCTGCATCGTTTTCATCCCTTCCTCTCTGTGATGGATTTTTTTCCTTTTACTGGCTGCTGCAGTAGATACTTGAAACAATATTTACTTCAGAGAAACATTCCTTGTAATACTTCTCTCTGCTTTGAAGGTTAATAAAAATCTAAGCTTTTATCTGCCAATGAGTTCACACTGTGCCTTTCATTCAGATGTGTTGTCCTGCATGGAGGATTTATTCTGCTACAGCCCACATGTATACCTTGAATTTGTGGAGCAGGATATACTTGCTTATATCAGAGCATGCAAGAAAGTAAATGATGAGCTACTAACCCTGATTGTTTTCCAGAAGTATTAAGTAATAAAATGTCAGGCCATCTAGACAACTTTAAGCTCGTTAAATTTCTTGCTTTTCTTTTTGTTGCTCTTAGGATATAAAGAGTGCAATTTGAGTGGTTTTGTGATCTGACACTTGGAATCACAGCCACAACAAATAGTTCACTTTCAGACTCAGAAACCTAATACAAACTGTTTATATTAAGAAGAAACTCAAATATAGTGCTAGTGTACACAACTTAAACTGTATAAAACTGGTTTTCTCTCTTAATTAACCTTCACCTGACATGTTCTTCAAGTATTGTTTTCCTGCTTGGATTTTCAGCCTCACTGAACTCCTTAAACTTTTTGCTCCCATTAAATCAATATCAACTATTTTATAATGCAGAGCTGGCTTCTCCAGTTCTGAAGACAATATTTGCTATTTACCTTCTCACATTCCTTCAGATTAGAAACCTTTTGTCATTGATTTCTTCTCTTCTTTTTTTAAGGGTGGAATTTCACTTGTGAGTAAAAACATTGATTCTGTGTTTTGCACTTCTCTGAGGGGGTGCAGATATTGACAGAGAAGAGCTCATGTACATGCAATTATGAAGCAGGTTTTGCAGGCAGGTTAAGCTACATTGCATTTACCACAAGAGTGAACTTGAGCAGTTGTTGTAGATCATCCACTGGTTTGCATTATGATATTCTTGTGCTAACCTTAGAGTTCCAACACAAAGGTCTAACAAAATTTAGCCAAAAATTTTAAAATTAATGCAGATTGACTTCCTGTTATATCCCCCTAGACAAGGTCTAAAGTTGTGGAGTTAATGAATACTTTTGCTAAAACAACACTACCTCGGCAGCTGGCATTAGGCTGTAGCTGTGGAAAGCAAGGCAGGCTCTGCTGTAGCCAGCTGTGGGCATGTCTTACTCTGAAACAACTGTGAAAGAGATGAAGCCTTGAGTGGTCAAAACCCCTCAGATATACGGTGAGGGTAGAGTGTACACAGTGGCAGTCACTGCAGAATAGAGGCACTGCTCCTGCGGGCACCTTTGCTGGGGCCAGTGTTGCTAATGCTTTTCTCTTGATAAACTGTATGCAGGAAGCAATGGTGGGGAGAGGATAAATACTCTGTGATGGATAACAGAGAGCAAGGAGTGGTTTGACTCTTTAAACTGTCAAGGGCAGATAAGATGAAGTGATATGAAGAGTCTCTGTGGTTTGGAAATAAGCTGCAAGGAAGGATGCTAAGACCAAAGAATGAAGAAGCTGGGGCATCATGGGTCTGCTTTCAGGGTCTCTGGTTACTCTTTAGGTTATTTTTACTTAGTAGTGAATAATAATAATAATAATAGGTTATTTTTACTTAGTAGTGAATAATAATAATCATAATAATATAATGATGTTCTTATTAAAAACCATTTCAAGACCTATGAGTACACCTGTGTATTTATGCGAGGTAAGGTTTGAAGTTTGCCACTATGGTTGGACGCCTGGGGAAAAGTGTGGCTAGTCTGTCTTGCTTCCCGAAAAGAGCATGGCTATTTCCAGGTGTGTAGGTGGGATTTGTGGGTCTGAATTCTTGGCGTATTTGTAAATTTGGGTCTCAAACCTCAGAGCACCCAGGAGAGCCAGCCTAGGGCTGTCAGTACACTGGTTCATAAGGTGTCAAGACCCAGTGGAGCAGCCTGACTGTACAGAATTATATGAGCAAAGTCCTGTGTAGATAAGCTACCACAGGATTCCAGTGAAACTAGAAGTGTATGTAGATAGGGATCAGAAGACCAAATGTCCTTTAAATGATCTGTTGATAGAAGTCATTGTATTGGGGTACCTTGCTGAAAAGCTTTTGGAGCCTATCACTGCAGTCTCAGCTGGCATGATTTGTTTTGTTTTTGATCCATCACATGAGAATTATCTATACAAAGGGAGGTGCCCTGGAGAGCTGCAGCTCAGCCAGCTGTATGCTTGCATAATGATACAACCCAATTCCAATATACTAGGTAGGTGTTGTTTAAATAGTGTTGCAATCTTGATAAAATTATCAGTTTTCATAATATCCAGGCATATGCCTGTGGACTCAGCCATAGCAAGGGAGTCTGGCTTAGAAGGAAAAAAGATCACTTCTCTAGAAGGCATTTCTTTGGGAAAGAGCTTAAATTTTTTTTCAGCATAAACTTCTTTCTGTTTAAGCGCAGAATTTTTCCTTCCATGATCTCTTATCTTCTAGTCTCTAAGATAAACTGGCAACAAATGCACGCTGTACCAAAGTTGTTTCAGGCAATACTGATGTTTACTGACTATATTTCCTACAACATCACTTCATATGTTGAGTATATATAGTGCATGCTGAATATCTTCACAAATTGGTGTCTTCACAGGCCTTAAGTAATTTATCTTCTATCATCTTGGGTTTTGATACCAACACGTGAGGGTACCCACTAGCAATTCAGCTCAAAACTTTTTTCTGATGGCCATGTAGGCTGCACAGCTCTTCTCACAAGTCCTGAATTTTCTCACCTGGTGGGAGGAGCAGCACATCGTGTTCCTTCTTAACAAGGGTCACCAGAAAGCCAGGATCTACAAGCAACTGAGACTTCAAATGAAGGAGAAAGGGGCACCCTCAAGGCCCTGCTCCATTTATTTTTGGGCTCCTCTGACAAACTGCAAAAGAATTGCAAAAATGAGTAATCTATGTTTTTTGCTGCCCTGCTGAAGCACAGGGCTACCTTTGGCCAGAGAAGCTACTGTGCTGTGTAGTGAATCATGAATGGATTTCCCTGGAACAATCTCACACCTGTAACTGCACCTGCACAAAGCAGGTTCTGACCCCTCTCTCTGTGCCAATGAACTCAGATTTCCTAAGATTAGACTTCTTGAGTCTGACAATAATTCTCTACCTAGCTCAGAAAAAACATTTCTCCATGCAGTTTTAAGATATGAACAGATCAGGCCAGTGATCTAAACTGTGCTGGGCCCAATTTTAAAGCCCAATTTTTAATGTATGGGGTCTGCATTAAATTTGTTATTCTTCTGTACAGGTCTTAGGGAGCAAGCCACAGCTTCCTGAGTGCAGTGATGACGATGATGAGCTGGCTGATATTACAAACAGGAGAAGCGCTAAACTATATATGGTAAGCTGTTTGTTTGTTTGTTTATAGTTAGGTACTCTCAACACCATGCATTCATTCATTCCATGTATGTGGAGTTTGAGCTTCATTTACAGAACTGCTGTTGATTTGCAGCCAATCGACAAGTTTCTCAAAGCATGTCAATCAAGACTGCCCAGGTAATTTAAAGGAAAAAAATTAATTACATTTCTGTTTACTCAGGAACAGGGCCTATAAACCACCGAAGAAGAATTAACTGGTCTTAAATCATCCTGTCTTCTTAATTTAAATAGTCAGAGTTTTAGTAGTCATATATGATTTAGTTATTCTTAGCAGAGTTCAATAGATAGACGGTTATGTTATATTTTATATGGATAAAATCAAAGGGATTTGCATGCCAAATTCCTTTTTTTTTTACAATGCTTTATTTCTCCTTTCTCACCTGCAGTGGTTTAAGACCGACTGGAACAGTGCCACTGCCAGAAAAATTGCTTACAAACAAAATGGATAAATATATGCTCCATTTAAATCAGTGGGAGGGTTTTTTGTTACATTCAGTAAAGTTATGATAGGCATACTGCTGTTTCCTAGAAGAGACATGGAATTTATTCTTGGACCTATCAAAACAGTATCTGATCTATATATAACACCATGGAACTATTTCTGAAAAACAAACAATTTCCAGGCCCTCTATTTTCCATCTTTTATATTTTTGCCAAAGCTCCCCTTTCATTCATATTCTCCCATATGAGAAAATATTTGGAAAAGGGGATGTTTCTAATGAAATCTTGAAAATACTTTATCCTCCTCCCTCCCTCCCTCCCCACCCCCCCCTCTCTGCCAAATAAAAAGAATAAATATTTTCTCTGGAAGACTGCAAGAAAATGTTTTTTACAAGCAGATCTCACTGAGATCTGGACCTTTCTCTTCAGTGCTTTGTTCTCTGGCTCATGCAATGAGATTACCCAGTGTGACAGCAAAGAATCTCACTGGTATAAAATGTGCTTTATTCTCTTTCCCGTTATCACTCAACAAGGAGGATTTGCCCAACAAGTGGCAACACTGAAAGCACATAGTACTGCTGGATCTCCATGTGTGTGACCTTTTAGGTGCCATCTACAGTAGCCTCAAAGCTGCCGTGAAGTGTGAGAGAGGATGAGTCACTCCCTCCGTGGTTCCTGCATCCCACAGACCACAGCAGGATGGAGCCACCTCTCTCCCTGCCTCTTACCTGATTTTTCCACTACCCATAATTGTGGCTGGAGTTTACAAGAAGCCTGTGTGAGGTGATCAATGTCACCAGGCCATTTTTAGTCCCAGTTGTCTATGTGTTTTATTTAGTTCACATTAATCATTCCTTTCATGCCAAAAAAATCTGTTGCATCTTTATAGCAGGGTTCTAGGCGAGAAAAATTTAATGAAAAAGATTGCCTGCCTGTATGATCAGGACCATTGTAGTAAGATGTAAATAGAGAAAAGAAAAGGCTTGAATGAATTTTAAAATCCTAAGAACTCTCTGGAATTTTTGTGGCTATGTAATAAATTCATCTAAGTACACAGTCCTGCTAACAGACCTCTATTAGCTAGATTTAAATGTGCTGCAATATAACAGTGAGTGCCAAAGGCAGGAGACGGGTCTGTGGTGAGCCCTCAGAGTAGGTATAATAGTTGATTTTTATTTGTTGAGTGCAGTGGTACATGCCTTCTTATGCTTCTGTAATATGTATCTTATATATATCTTATCATAATATGTATCTTACGTTGTAATGTAAGATATAATGGTGTATTTAAAATTAATATTTAATTACAAAAGGAAGTAAAGACTGCTAGAAAAGTTATTACAATAGTAATAATTTATTTTCACTAGCAATAACTGGTCTTTTCAGCTATACAAGAGGGACTTTTAAAAGGTTTTAAAGGTCTGCATGAACTTAAAGTGGTGGAAGGGGTTACAAAGCAGATTCTGCAACAGATTTTATGTAACAGTTTTCAATTAAAGAACAGTAGGTTATAAATGTAGGTATTTCACTTGTTAGTGTCAGTGTAGGACTATTTTATTATTATTTCAAATGCTGTTTTTCAGCATGTACATGCCTCTTTGGCTTCAGTGTGTGTGGTTTGGTAGCAGGGACTCCACCAATTCAGCCAAGCACATAGAAGGAACTGAAGAAAACACAGATTTTTTAGCTTTGAGCAGTTGAATTAAAGTCAAAGAGAAACGAAGTTGAAGAAGTTGTGTGATAGGGACTCAGCAAACTCCCTAAAATTAGCACTACATCTCCCTCTGTTGGATGTAAAATGAAATGAAACAAAAAATAATAATCGTTGGCCTACTGTACTTTCCAGCAGTACATAGAGTTCATATAGCCATATATATAGGGTTGGCAACTCATTTTTATGGTAGTTTTTGGAGCAGAAATTAATTTGGTTATAAAAGTCAGGGTTGATCTAAATTTCAAATTATTGCTTTCTTAGGTGTCAGATGCAAGTGGATCCATGAAGGTTTCTGTGATAGCAGAGGAAAACCCCTTCTCCATGGCTATGCTTTTGTCTGAGGAGTGCTTCATTTTGGACAATGGTGCTGCCAGGAAGATCTTTGTGTGGAAAGGTAAGAGCTTTCCAAGAGTTTGATGCTTCTTTCTTTTTAGTAAATATTTCTCTGAGGTCTCATCGGTGTATATAGTAATGTCTACAATGGTTTTGTCTGAATGTTTCCCTGGAGAAGAATACTACTACTGGGGAATTAGGTCTGTTGTAGTACTGCCATTAAATCCAGTGCTGAATATCTGTCTTTTGTTTGTTTGTTTTGCTTGTTTGTTTGGTTTTTGTTTGTTTTTTTGTTTTGGGTTTTTTTGTCTGAGGTAGTGTATTAATTATTCTTTGGCATTTGCATTTTGTTTTACCACATGCAATAGCATATAATTTATTGATGCCCTTGTCAAGACTCTTGAGTCAGTCCAGGAAGCATTGTTTGCATTTTGCTTGAAAACTTCATTTGTAGTTAGGGAAACATCCTTAAAAAGAAAATATTTTGGGAGTGTTATGCTCAGATGGCCTAAGGTCTGTCTGAATCCCTGATTCCTGATTTTTGCTCCGTACTACAGCTCCTAGGAGAACCAAGCCAACAGAATCAGGCATAAAATAATTAAAATATAATTTAGTCTCTTTGACTGTGGCCCTTTGTGCTCCCGTGTGTATCCTCACTTTGCTACTGCCAGTAACAATAATGTGTGATAAACCCTGATTAGATGATGAGTCTCACCGTTGCACGGGAGACTGCAGTTCTCATCTCTGCTGGACATCTTCAGACCACTCTGCTGAGAAGTGTGAATTACTTCAGTAACAGTCTCATTCAATATGGGATACAATGTATAGTTTATCAGAGCATCTGATCAGATTAAGAGTTTTTTGGAATATGGTCACTGGCAGCCAGCTAGGATGCAGACCCATCCCACTGGGACTTTCAGAGATGTCTAACACTGAACAAGGCTGAGCAAGGAGCAATGGATAGGGAACGGTGGTGTTAAATTGCACAGCCCATCCAGACAAAATGAAATTTTCTAGTACTTGGACTGTGGCACTGCCTGGAGAAGTGAAGGCAGTTCTGGATGGCAGCTTTATTTACCATATTAGAGCCCAGCAAAGGAAGAGTTAGAAAATGTACACACACATACACACACACACACACACACAATTTAACTGTTTTCAAAGCTACTGAGGTACTCATTCAGCCATTCAACTTCGTGTGAATCTTCTTGCTCATGATGTGTCCAGCATTTGTGTTTGTTCAAGACTGAGGAAAGAGCAATGTCAAAGAGAATCTGGCTCAAGGACATCTTGTTTTTCAAGTTTTGTGAGCTCATTGCCCTTTCCATGTGTTGTTATCCTTCTGTTTTAATCAGGCAGAGATGCTAACCCTCAAGAGAGAAAAGCTGCCATGAAGAATGCTGAACAATTCATACAGCAGATGAATTATCCTGCCAACACACAGGTGTGATCTATTTATGAGGTGATACCGGGACAGCATGTGCTCTGTTAAAGACTTTGTTTTTAAGTCAGAAAAAAAATAAAAGCTATGGGAATAAAAGACATAAGAGCAATATTTCACTAACATATAATTCAGAAAAGTTTCTGTTTGAGTAACTTTCCTTCCATTTCATGTGTCTCCCTTCATTTCAGATTCAAGTCCTTCCTGAAGGAGGTGAAACGCCAATTTTCAAACAATTTTTCAAAGACTGGAAGGATAAAGACCAAAGTGATGGGTTTGGCAAAGTATATGTCACAGAGAGAGTGGCTAAAATTGAGCAGATTGAATTTGATGCTACCAAGTTACATGAGTCTCCACAAATGGCTGCCCAGCATAACATGGTAGATGACGGTTCAGGGAAAGTAGAGGTAATTTTTGTGTTGTATTAAATTGTATCCTATCTACTTAATGTGTTCTGCTACTACTACTGGGATAAGCTGCTACTCTGTGTTTTAATTTTTATCCTGTTGTTTAGAGTAGCACTGCATTAGTGACAATGTTACTTCTACCATCAAAAAAGTTGCTTTGAAGTAGAATCTCTTTCAACTGTATGCTGGATTATGTTTTTGTGCTTATGAAGGACATAGCAGTCATCGATAGAAATCAAACAGCAGAATATTAAATATTCCCCCTTCTACACAGTACCTTATAAATATGTACTTTAAACATGATCCTTAGCCTAGAGAAAAACTACTAGCTCATATCAGCTTGAAATCTGGAGTGGGAAGACTTGCCCTTGGAGTCAGAAATTCACATGTCTTTATGTATATATCCAGTCTGGTTTCCAGAGGAACCTTCTTTGTCCCTACTGTGTCTCTCAGGTAACCTGGATTTGGAGAAAAAAAGGTGACTGTACAGCCTTTCTAGATCTGTCCATATCCCACTTCAGGACTGTCTTTGGACTACACAGGGCTGGCATGGCATTGTATCAGCATGGCCTTTCGAATGCAGATTGCATGTTAGGTTTCTGGAAGGAGATATGAATACTTACTCACTGGTCTATTTTCTGAGTTTCTGACCTCACACTTGTGTTGGTTCATAGGTTTGAGCCAAAGCAGCTTAGATCTGAAGCATTCTTTTCTGTACAATTTTAGCAGTATGATTTTGGAGAGCAGTTGTTAACTGAACTGGGCTGTAGAAATCTGCCTAACAGTGTGTTATCTGACTGTAGCATGCCTCTTCAAAATGATATGATAGTTTTATGATGAATAATAATAATGTTGAGCCGTTCGTGTCATATTGTCACCTTGAGGTGTTAAGAAAGTAGGTTCAGCATAGCATTATGAGGTGATTGTGTGCCAGTAAAGCATCATGACAGAGGAAAGTATATTGCAATCCACTGTTGATGGTCATTATTCATTCATTCGGTGGGCACAGGGTGTGTCTGTCTACTTCATGAACCATCCTTCCTGGTTTTATTCTATAACACTTGGAATATAAACAAAGGTCACTCAAGGGATGAGACAATAAATTGCTTCATGAAGACTTTCAGGATGAAGTTCAGCATTCTCTAGTGACTTCCCTGTTTCCCCAGATCTGGCGTGTGGAAAGCAGTGGCAGAGTTCCTGTGGGACCTGAGACATATGGACAGTTCTATGGGGGTGACTGTTACATTATCCTCTACACTTACCCCAGAGGGCAGATCATCTACACGTGGTATGTTTGGTTGCCTTTGCACAGACCTCCAGCACATGGATATTATTTTATACTGACTTTTTGTCCTTTTGAGTAGAACCATGTGTAAGTGCAAGATTTTTCACTGTGCTTGGTCATGCAGTATAAACTCTGGGTGATGTTGAAACTGAACTTAACCATTGCCTTTCTCCTTGTCTTCCTCAGGCAAGGAGCACATGCTACAAAAGATGAACTGACTGCATCTGCATTTCTGACTGTTCAGCTGGATCGGTTATTGAATGATCAGGCCGTGCAGGTTAGTGTCTTTTGGATAAAATTCAACATCAACAGAGCATGTGATATATGCAAATTTCAATGAGAATTGAAAGGAAGAGGTTGCATTTAAAGACTTAAATATAAATGTCAATTGCTTGTGGTCTATATCAAGGCCAGCACCATTGGCTCCTTTTAAAGTCAATTAAGTTTTCCCATTTAAATCATCCTTTCTGTATGCGGGTGTCCAAAAGAACACAGATATACTGAAACCTAAAACTGCCTTTTCCTTCCTTTGACTTTCACTGTTTAAAAATTAGGTTTCAATCCTGCCTAGATTTGCAGACTCTATGCATGACTAATGAAGACTGAATAATAAGATCCTCCTGGGCAACTTGCTTTGAAGCAGGTGTCTGATAAATCAATAGCCTTATGAGAGCTCCCGTCTCCTTTTGATTATGGTGGAAGTTGTGATATTTAGCACAGACAAGACACCTGGCTTTTAGAGGGCCAAAACTAGGAGACATGAAAGCTACATGACCACCAGAACAGGAAAGCCTGCTGGAACTGTGCAACAGGGTGTGATTTCTCCTTGCCTCAGTGAGGAACATAACTTGGGTTTTCCCATCCCATAGTGCTTGCAGCTCCATGAAATACACTTCCTTATGTGCAGAAATGGGATGTGCAAGGCAAAGCACAGGACACTGACAACTAAAAGGCGTGAGGACATAAGCTAGTCCCTAGCTTGACTACCGTGTGTTCTCCTTACATCACTCGTGAGAAGTGGTGGATAGGTGAAGACATGCGAGGTCTCCTCTTTTCACAGAAAAGTTAGAGCTGTAAGATGGCAAGGGAAAAGCAGAGACTTTATAGGCAGTAGGAAATAATTCTGTGATTCCCATTTCTTATATACAAAAGTAAAGGGCTTCCCCTGCTCACCGAAGTACACTTAATTCAGATGGCAGACCATACTTTTAACCATTAATCAGTTATGATTTATGAATGAAATTATATTAAGGAAGGATTAGAACACTTCTAGGTAATTACTATTTGAAATATTCCTACCATGTATTCTATATTTGGACAGAGTCCAGCACAACATGGTCCTGCCTCATACCTATGACTAATATTAACACTAAAGTAATAACAATATTGCTACTAACAGCTGCAAGAGTAAGGTGCCTAAAAAGTGCAATAGACGTGATACATAAAAGCACTTTTAGCCTGCAGTAATTTTAGGAATATATATATATGTATGTATATGTGTACGTATACGTAAGTGCATATATACACACATATGTATTTATGTATGTGTGCATTGCTATGGAAATAAATAGAATATATTATCTGTGCTTAATGTCTGTATAAGCATTATTTGAAAGGTTTAGGTGTGCTATTTTGTATGGTCACTAGATGGCACGACAGTACAAATGACTATTAAAAAGTCAGGCTTGCAGGAATATGTTTCACCAAGCAGTGTTTGGAATTTGGGATTTCGTTTGGGTTTGTTTGGGTTGTTACTGGGGGGTTTCTTTGTGGTTTGTTTTTTTCTTCCTGTTTTTAAAATCCTGCTACACTTTGTCATCTACAAGTGTATGTGTCCTCTGTTACCCTTATCAGACAGTCTATCCACCTGGGAAATAAGTAAAAGCACCTGCTCCTGCCCAGCTGCAGCTGCTCCTCTGGGCACCCTGGCTTCCAGATGCCCCAGGCCTCAACAGGGGCTCTCCACTTCTCCTACTCTGCTGGCTACACAGCGTGTCTCATTCTCTTTTTTTTCTTTCTTTCTGGGAGTGAAAGACAAGGAGTTGCAGCCTGCTACTTTGGCGGGTGGTACTGTTAAAGGAAGAATTAATGGTTTTGTACAAATAACTTTTATCATATATTGACCTAAAACCAGTTGTTCTTCATAGTGCAGTGTGGTTTTTTATATGGCAGTAGCATCTTGTGCATCTGTAATAGAAGTCCATTTTTGTCATCCATTTTATCCTCTGGAAGATAGATTTATGATCATCTTTTTCATCCTCTTGCAGATAAAGTACATGTGAAAATAATGAATAAGTTGAATAACCATTTTTTTCTGCTTAAATACAGGGTACCTAAGCTTCCAAGACAGTTTTTCAGGGAAATTAAGTCATTGTATAAAACACTATGAAATGACAGTTCCTCTGAAAAAGAGTGATTTTCTTCTTAGCAGCCATTTTAATTAGCTGAATGTTATGTTAGAAGTTTGAATCTTCTCTTTGTGTCAGCATGATTGACAAAAAAATCTCACAAATGCTCTAACTCTATATGTCTGGAACTATATTTTTAGAACTTCTCAGCTTGCCGCTTCTCATTTGTGCTGGCATGCGTGGCATTATTGGCTAACATCCCCTATGCTATTCAACAAAGACCAAAAATAACTACCTGTGTCCTTTTGTTTCTTTTATTGCATTTCTTTACATATGTACAGATCCGAGTCAGTCAAGGCAAAGAGCCTCCACATTTACTGAGCTTGTTCAAAAACAAACCACTTATTGTCTACAAGGATGGGACATCCAAGAAGGAAGGTCAGAAACCTGCTCCACCCACACGACTCTTCCAAATCCGCAGGAACCTGGCAGCCATTACTAGGATTGCAGAGGTAAAATCACCTGCTAATTAAACCAACAATTCCCCATGAGCCTCACTGACTAATCTTTTTGGGTAGTCACAACTGGTAAGAATACAGAGCTCCAAATCCAATCCACTGCTCTTTGTGACCAACCCATCTAATAAGGCAAAGAGAATATGCTGTAACCGGCTGCAACCAAGCTGCATCATTCAGAGGAAACTGTAAGAATACACACAGTTGACAGTCAGTTGACAAGGAATAGACAAGAAGTCAGCAGCCCCTAGGAGACAGTCTTTGTCCTATTTTATGAGATAGTCTTTCCTACTGCAAACAGTCCTAAGTTTTCCCTGCCAGTCAGTTCTCCGTCTTAAGTTCTTCTCTAATTTTTGTCAGTATAAAACTAGGGAAAAAATGAAGACCAAATGCATAGCTGATTAACACTTCTAAACGTTTTATGTGAACATGCAAAATAGTGATTACATTATTTGAAAATTTGAAGAATAAAAGAATTTCTTTTTTTATCTAGGTTGATGTTGATGCAACGTCACTGAACTCCAATGATGTCTTTGTTCTCAAACTGCCAAACAACTCTGGCTACACCTGGATAGGAAAAGGAGCAAACACAGAAGAGGAACAAGGAGCTCAGTACATTGCCAGCATTCTTAAATGCCAAACTGCTAAGATTAATGAAGGCCAGGAACCAGGTTAGTATGAGGCCACATGGCTGCTAATAGACAGCTGAGAATACACAGCATGGTGATACAGTCTAAATGGTTTTTGCAGTCCTCTATTTTGTGGGCAGAAGCATATGCTCACACTCTGCCTTTGAGAATCCAACCTGACATTTACCGTGGGGATCCATCCAGAACTGGCTGATGCACAAGCAATGCAATGCCTTGGAAATCTGTAGGACAGTGGCTGGAGCTGCAGAGGAATGGGGTCCTTTCTTTACCCTGAGTGTCTAAGAGGAGAGAAAGATAGCACATTGCTAAGGCTAAGAGAATTGGGATTGTTCAATGTGGAAAAGAGGAGGCTTTGGGGTGACCTAATTGCAACCTTCCAGTACCTGAAGGGAGCCTACACGAAAGATGAAGAGAGACTATTTACAAGAGCATGAAGTGACAGGAGAAGGGGAAATGGCTTCAAACTGAAAGACAGTAGGTTTAGATTAGATATTAGGAAAAAATTCTTTACTGTGAGGGTGGTGAGGCATTGGAACAGGTTGCCCAAAGAATTAGTGGATTCCCTATCCCTGGAAGTGTTCAAGGCCAGGCTGGATGGACCTCTGAGCAACCTGGTCTAGTGTGGAAGGTGTCCTTGCCCCAAGGGGTGCTGGAACTTCCAGCCCAGGACATTTTATGGTTCTATGATTCTTGCTGGATTTGCAAGTTATATTGTTATTTTTACAAACTGCAGGGAACACTGTAAGAAAATGCTTTCATCTTTGAGACAGCAAAAAGATTGTTTGAGGATTCCTGAAACAATATCTAACAAGGAAAACCAAAAAATGTTAAATCCAGTGGTGAATAAATTATATATTGTTCATTTCAGAGGAATTCTGGAAAGTACTTGGAGGTAAAAAGAAATATCAGACTTCATCCCAACTCTTGACAAAGGCTGAAGATCATCCCCCTCGCTTGTATGGTTGTTCTAATAAGACAGGTAGATTTATTGTAAGTATCTGAAGGATACTTCCCTCAATGTTTTGTAGTTTCTGATATATTTTGCCTCAGTGGACATTAAATTAATTTGGGGATCTAGCTTAGTTAGCTGTGTTTGGCAAGAGCTAGAGAGCTGACATTTTGTTCTTTAAACAATTCAAATGCAATGGATGGACAGAATAATTAATACTGCAGAAGTTTGCATGCAGAGCCTGCTCTGGCCTGGAACTACAGGCTTGCAGATGCAAAAATATAAGGTGCTTGCCCAGTCAAGAGCAATTTAATTCTTGCAGAGCATTGCCAGATTGCTATCAATTTGCTGAGAAAGTGCAGGTCAGTGCCTTGCCTCTTAAGTGTTTGGTAGCGGTGGTAAGGGAAAGAAATGTTGCTTGCCAAAAATCCCTACCAGTCTGAAATTTTCCATAGAGATTTAAGATGTGTAATTATGCCTTTAAGGTGTTGGCCTGTGCCCAAGGAGGTAGGAAGACCTATTTCCTTGGCAGAAATACCCAGAGCTAGCTATTCAGTGGGTATTAAGTCTGTGATTCAGGCTTAATTACTTACCGTATTTTGGGAGGGCAACACTGTGTCACTGTTTGGCAAGGATGCACTTATTTTTGGGCAGGGGATGTAGTTGCCTATCATCTGCAGTCTCCTTAAAGCATGGCCCAGTCATTTGGAAAGGGATAAAACAAACAGGATCCTTTAATAAGGACTTTAAAATCTTGTGAGAGTAGTAAAGTGTATTCTTCTAACAAGCTTCTAAAATACTCCTGTGAAATACAGTAATAGGAACCAACTTCTCTTCAATAGTCTGCTGGGAGCTATGGACTTGCTTTTTATTTTAAATTCCCTCCAAATTCTGAGAAATCCCCTCTTTCTTGTAGCATTTCTCTAGTAACTGAGTCACCACCATTAGAGGTCCCATAAGAGGAAGGTCAGACCATTCTGACCTTCTGGCCGCTGTAACACAGGGTGGGGAAAAGGAAGGTCTTTTGCACCATTTGCTTATCATTCCTTTAGCACTCCTACACGACCATGCATAGCCAAAGCCTTGGCAATCCTTTAAAAGCAGGAAACACCAGTTACATTATTATCTCCCCTTCTCATACAGAATAATATTAAACTGCCCTCCTATCCTCTTCATTCTTGGAAGAAGCAAGCAGTCTGCCTTTCCTTTGGGCGCTAATCCTCAGTGGCTTAGTCAGCTGTGATGTCCCATTGTCTAGTGACTGGGAAGCTTGGTTGTGTGTGCATTTGATCACTGAGCTCACCCACTGCAAACCAAAGCAGTTTCTTTTTCTTATTAATGAATGCAAGATGCATGAACATATCAGCTGATGTCAGCTTGGTTGGTTGGTTCAAGATGCTCTATGGAAACATCCCTGGTTCCTCTTTCTGGCAGATCTCTGTCCCAACTTGACATTAGTCAACAATTACAATGTAAATCTTACCAATTCTACAAAACGGAGAGCTGCTTTTGTAGGACATGCCATTATATGATTTGGGTTTGATCCTTTAGGAGCAAAAAGAATGGCTCAGTAGCCTTTGCACTTATCCTTTTGAAAATAACTTTGGTCTGTGCAAAATTGTATACCTTGATAAATCATTAAAACAAAAAAAACCCTCAAAACATAATATCCTTTTTAGATTGAGGAGGTCCCTGGAGAATTCACTCAGGATGATTTGGCTGAAGATGATGTCATGTTGCTGGATGTTTGGGATCAGGTGAGCTGTGTACTTGACCACTGCTTTTTGTGAGAACAAGAATAATTTATTCTTAATGACTTAGTTCATGAGGTGGGAGGAAAAACCATATTGTGAGCATGGAAGCAGTTTTGTTTTCTTTAATTTATACCATATACTATATTTTTTGAGCTATATGATGTGCTAGTGTGAACACGCATGTTTAAATTTCCAAGCATGATGTAAAACCATGTCCGGTAGTTCCTATTTAAACCAATAGAGCATGCAAGAGTATAAGCCCCAGCAGTGTTCTGGAAGGGCTCTCAATAGTGCATCACTAAAATTTATTAATTTTTTTAAAAATGTTATTGCATTAAAGGTATTTAGAAGCCACAAAACACATGTAACAGCAGCACCTACAAAAAGTCCTCGAAGAGAAAGGGGCAAACACTAGACCCTTACACAAATTTCTTCATGCTAGAAACTGGGTGGAGGATGACAGAAACAATCTCCATCCTTTCCCAGGTTCACTGAAAACTGAAAATGTGGAGAGCTTTTTGAATGACAGACAAACTCACTGTGGGTGCAGAGAGCACAATCTGTTTCTCACAGTGTGTTCTCTCTACCCTTCCCCTCCTCTTGGGGAGAAAGGGGAGGAGGCCACAGATCCCATGCTTTATTTGTGTTCTTCAGCCTAACCCTGAAGCAACAAAAGGCTGAGGTTTTTGGAAATGAGAAGGAATGTCCAAGGCCCATGAGAGAAGGAGTGATGGGTAAGGTGGGGGAACATCTAGTTGGAAAGTAGCTGGGACATACTGACTCAAGTAAGAAGAAAAGAAGTCTGGGGCACATAACAGGTTTCCAAAAGGATCCTGGGCAGAAAAGGAAAAAAAAAAAAAAAAGAAAAGGGTGTGTGTGGGGTATTGCAGATCAAGGCTATGATTGTTGGGTTTTTCAGTGCATTATCTAGCAGTTGCCTGGGGAAACACTGATCACAGGGCACAAATGTTGGTGCGCACACAGAGCTCAAACCAGAGACAGTATTTATACCTGCAACCAAAGGGCAATTTCCTGGGCAAATTGTAAAAGATGTCCATGGAAAAGGTAATTAGATTTCCTTTCACCAGAATGCATAAAGGTCCAGCCTTCCAGTGTCATAGAGAGCAGTGAGATCTCAGAGGACATGAGTATGGTCTCTCAAATGGAGAAGAAAACGTCAGCTGTGGTTTGTGAGAGCTGTGTATCTCTGCAGTCTTTTCATAGTGTATATTCTTTTTCCTAGTGGAATCAACTCTTTTGTACTTTACCAGCTGTACACAACTTCCTTATAATAACATTGGGTCTGTATCTTTCCTCTGTTTGCAGGTTTTTGTCTGGATTGGGAAGGATGCTAATGAAACTGAGCGACAGGAATCCGTTAAATCTGGTAAATCAAATCAATTTGGCAGAATTCTGAGGTAGCATCAATATTACTTAAAGAAGAGAAAAATATGATGTAGAAGAAATGATGTAGAAATGTAGTTACATTTACAGTGTTTAAAAAAAGTGTTATTGAACTTATTAGAATTTAATACAAAAATTATTATTTTTGCCTTTAAATGTGCTTTAAAACTCTGTAAGTTTATGAAGGATAATATTAATCAATATAGCATTACTAGGCTGCAGAGCTTCTTAAAAATATATAGTAGAGCTCCATGAAAAGAAACTGAACTGAAAAGAGAAAGAATTTAAAAGGAGGTCCCAACTGAGCTCCACCCTCGCTGATGTATGTAGAGAAAGCAATGCCAGCAAGTCCTTACACTGCCATGCTCCACTAAATTAAATTTGCAGGAGGAAATTCCAATTGCAGAACAAATCAAGACAACTTACATGGAGTAAGTTGTAAGTAATCAAGAGATTGCAAAATCGTGCGTCACCTCTGGTGTGACTTCACATAGCTGAGCCATTCTGATGTAGTTTGTGCTGAAAATGCTTGCATCTGTTTCCCTGGAGCAGCTGGGGTTACCCGGCTGTGTTTCCGATCTGTGCTACTGTCACGTTGTGGTGTCAAGAGAAACTATGCTGGCTTTCACATGAGAGAAATGAGAAGCTTGTGTATCCTCACAGCACCAGCAAATTCTTTCTCGTGTTCAAGAGTCAAAACCTAGCTGTATGGCAATGAACTGATCAGAATAGCAATCCCCCTCTTTTAACTTCATGGAAAATTCCTTCACTGCCAGCTGGGAGAAATCAGCAATTACCTGATCATTTCATTGCCTTTGAAATAATTAATTGAACATTGTATTATAGTAGCCCTCGGCTCTTTCACTATGGCTTTTAATGTATTTTTTATACCAAAGGAATGAACTAATATATTACATGTTTTATTTCCTCTCTCCTTTCAGCCAAACGCTATATTGAAACAGATCCTTCTGGCAGAGATAAGGGGACCCCCATTGTAATCGTGAAGCAGGGGCATGAACCCCCAACATTCACGGGCTGGTTCCTGGCTTGGGACTCTAACAAATGGAAGAACTGATCTCTCCAACGAGACTCCAGCTTCAAGCCAAAGAATGATCAGAGCTCAGCTACTTTCTAGTAGTTTTAAGCATAAGCTTATGAAACAATGTGATGCATCTGTTGTTACACTTTCTTAAGCTTTGATATATTTCTGTGAATAACCTAGAAATTCTTAGCACTGGAAAAGATAAATGCTAATTGTAAACTGACCAAGTGGGATGAGTGGGGCTTTTATAGTAGTAAATACAGAAAGTGCTACCAATCTTTAACATTTAAAGAAAGAAATCTTTCTTTAATCAATTGATTATTCAAATAAGCTGTGGATCAGTTTATTTTAATGTACTAAAATGGGCCAAATTCTGCCTTTACTTAATAAGTAATTACCAAACTAATACCACAGAAATTCCTTTAGATTAAGGTCAGCATAATATTGTGCAGAATTTGGCCTGATAAAGGAGTAATTCTATATCTGTTGCAAGGGTAGGACTGGACCTGATTTAATTACTAGGCCGGTATATTGTTATACTCACTTAAAATTTCAGATGATGTCTGTGAGCTGTGTCTTGCAGGGGGCAAATAAGGGATGGGTATTTTGAGAAAGCTGTGCTTAACATGTTTGCTTGCTCCACATACATACATATGGAGCTTTGGAATGAATGCTGTTCGAAAATTAAGTCAACAAAGGTTTTTTTGAGGGACTGTCTAGCTTATTGTTAGGAATTCCATTAGATTTGTCTCTGTGAACCAGCTCCATCAACTTTTTTAGCCAAAGTTCTTAAACATGTTGTAGTGCACTAGTGCTTTAAAGTGGAAACAGAAGAAGCAACAGCTTCAAAAACATATTCTGCCTTAACCAGACTGCACTTAAGCCATACTTTGCCTCAGTTGCCTTACTCAGAAGTACTCAGTGCTTTTTGAGCGTGCAGATTGTTCACCTTGTCAGGTGCAGGATATCTTTCTAATTTTTTGTGCAGGTCTTAGACAAACATCAAGCACATCAAAAACAAGGAAACCTGTAGCATTTCTGGGAATCTGGATGAGTATGCACCATAGAATATCACTTTCTCTTTTCTCTCAGGCACAGTAACTTGGGCTTTTTTTTTTTTATTCTGATGAATTTAAGAGTACATTTTCAAAGTGGCTTTTATTTGTAACTTAGCCAGAAAAGTATACTTATGGGCAGTGGGCAAACTTCTTAAAATCTTGAGCATGGCTTTGATCACTTATTCTGTAATGCTTGTTTTAAACAACAATTTGTACAGTTGTAAATCATGTCAACGAGGCTTTTTAATGACAGCATTTCAGCCGTTTTATTATGCTTATAAGTGAGGTTGGAAAGTGAAATTTTAGACATTTTTGTATTTTTTTTAACATGACTGATTTTGAATCTGGGTAATGCAAAAGAGCAAGTTTAGTCTGAGCTGAAAATATCAGTGATAAAAGAATTGCAAAACTAAGAGATTAATTATATGAGTTTGTTAGCTTTAAACATTTGTTTAAATCTCTGCTAATGTATCTGGGCTGCAATGAATGTAATTCAATTTAAAATAAAATTACAAAAAACAGTATTCTATATGCCAAGCTGATCTTCCTCTCTCTGACATATTGTTGGTCAGTGCTTCCACTGCTATCTAGCAAAACTTCCTAAAATAAACAAGTAGAAACCTTCCTTTTTAGATGGACAATGTAATGAGAAGTTACTTGGTTTTACTCCGGTGCCATTTTACCCAGTGGAGGCTTAATTCTTCCCAACAACTTGAAAGTTACAAACCTAAGGGAAAATCAAAGAACTGGGTGCTTATTAGCTTGTTATTTTCATCTTTGAGAAAAACTACCATTGTTGTCAAACTCTTTGATTTTATAACTTTTTATTTGCACAAATGACTAGAGAAATAGCTATTTTTTAAAATAGGAGGAAGCAAGTTTATGTTTGTTTTTAAAGGATAAATCTAGCTTTTTACTTGTAAGAGTAGATAAGATGTCCTTCTCCTGCTGGAAGGAGCACAAAGACCTTTTCAGTTTCTCAGTCACTGAACAGCCTGTAATTATCTGATTGTCGTCTTCAACACATTCATATGATTCTTCTCATTTTTAAAAAATAACAGTTATAGTAGCTTCTGAACCAAGGATTAGACAAGATTTGCCCTTCTTGTACATAAATATCTTCCGGAACATTGAGGGCTCTGAACTGGCACAGTCTGGCAACATATTCTCCAGCACTGTGAAAGCCTCTTTTCAGTTCCCCCCACACAAAACAGAGGAGCTTTTGTGGTCTCCTGGCCTGGGCGTTTGAGTTTGTAATACATTGTCCTGGCACGTTGATTACTGATGTTGAGAAGAGCATTGAGAGCTCATAAGGGAATAGTGTTCTCAACTGGGCTTTAAGGGCAACAGCTGCTAGCAACATTGTTCTTGGGTTTACTTGCCAGTGGGAAGTTTATTTTTCATACATATATATGCAGTACACATTCTTGAGGGAGGGAAGGAGGACGGACAGGATGGACTACGAGTGCTTGGAAGTGTTAAAGATTAAGCTTTTTTCAAGAAAATATTTAAGTACATAACTATGAATACACTATAAATAGCAAACCTTGATCTCAGAATTAATAAAAAAAATTCTGTAGATCACTACAGTCAAGTTCAGTCAAGAATAAGCTACATCTTGCATTATTATCAAACTGTAATAGCATGTTCACTCTATTTATAAAGGCAAAATTAGACCCTGATTTAGCAGTTTTATTATGCTACTAAACAGAAAGTATTCATGTTCTATTGATTGCAAATACACCGTCATCTTTATTTCAGTGCAACAGAAAGATGTTGGGAATCCTTAGAACCAACAGAACATCATAGTACTATATAGTATTTATATTACATAAAATACTATAATCTTAGAATATAACTACAGATTGTGCACAGGAGAGGAACCAATTTGTGGAATCACTGCTCTAAATACCCATTTTGACCATAGCACATAGTGCTATATAGCACCAGATCTGCTGTAAATGATTATGTTAAATGTAGCTAGATTCAATTGAACAGTTTGATTTCTTGCCAGTGCAGATTCACACAGGCTTCACCTGCACCAATAAGAAAATAAGGGAGATGGGAGATGGTAGACAGTGGGGTTGCACTATTATCCCTCACAGGAGAACTAAAGTATTATGCAGAAAATACTTTGCTCACTGGACTGTAGCAGGAGATGCTCTTGGACATCTCTATAGGCTACATGAGCTATTCTTATTATGAACTTTCTCATCTTCTTGTAGTCTTCATTTTTACTGGATCTAAAAGGGCTAATAAAGAAAACAAAAACAGCCCAAGCAAATCTCTTCTTTTCCATGGACTGAAATTGCTCTTCAGAGTCCAGTTCTTTGCAGGAAAGCTTGGGAAAAAGCCTTCAAACTTTGCTTTAGGATACAACTACTTCCTCAGCATCCCAGCTAAGTTCTGTCTTTATGACTTAATTGAGCCAAATGTAAGTATATAAGATTAAAAAAAAAAAATCTAATAAAACAGAGCTAGATAATATTTTGATGTGCTGACTTTACAAATACTTGCGCTTTTTTTTTTTTTTTAAGACAATAATTTTGGTTTTAGATAAAGAAATAGTATACTTTTCCCTTCTTATGGCTAGAACTTCTGCCGCTAAAATCAAAGAAACTTCTGATGTAATTGAATGGCATGGCAATGAGGGTGTGGCACAGCAGTGAGGACATGGCAAAGCAGTTTGCGTGGCAGTTCACACAGGCAGAGCGAGCAGGAAGGGCACAGCCACCCTGCTGGCTCTCTGCTGGGTCATGAGGTTGGTGTGTGACTGTGTTTTTTTTTTTTTCCCCAGCAACTCAACTCGACCCAGCAGTGGTTTCCAAACGAGCAAAAGCTGTTGCTGCTGCTCTCAGGGGGAGTGTGCTAACCCAGACAGAACCCCCTGGGAAGGACACAGCTCTTCATGTCTCTGGCTGCACAGAAAGTCTGAGCCTGGTGTCAGTACCAGAGGACAGTGTGAGAGATGCCTGCATATGATCCGAGCAGGTGAATGACTTACTGTGCTTAGTGGCAGAGCTCAAGGAAGAAGTGGAGAGGCTAAGAAGTATTACGGAGAGTGAAAGGGAAATAGACTTCTTTTGACCCCAAAAGAAGTCCAGCAGGAGACGATGAAGCCCTGCCCCTCCTGCCATCAAGCAGATGGAGCAATTCAAATAGATGGGGGGGAATGAAAACAGGTCCCTGATCAAAGAGGTAAAAGAATCCCCTCCCACGGTGCCCTTAAAGAACAGGTATGAGGCCCTGGACCCAGAGAGTCAGGCAGAGGGCAGTCAAGAAGGTTGAGTGCCTGTGGGTCAGAATCAGAGGGAAGACCTGTTAACAAGGCTGACATCCTGGTGGGAGTCTGTTATAGACCACCCCATCAGGATGATGAGGGTGATGAATTATTCTAAAAGCAGCTGGCAGATGTTTGAAAATCACCAGCTCTTGTTCTTATGGGTAACTTTAACCTGCCAAGTGTCTGCTGGAAACTCAACACAGCAGAGAAGAGGCAGTCTAGGAGATTCCTAGAGTGTATAGAGGATAATTTCCTGCTCCAGCTGGTAAATGAACCTACCAGGGGTGGGACCCCATTAGATCTGCTGTTTACAAACAGAGAGGGGCTGGTGGGAGATGTGGTGGTCAGAGACTGTTTATGGCACAGTGACCATGAAATAAGAGAGTTTTCAATACTCAGGGAAGAAAAGAGGGCCATCAATAAAACTTCTACCATGGAGTTCCAGAGGGCAGATTTCGGCCTACTCAGAAAATTGGTTCAGAGGGTACCTTGGGAAACAGCCCTTGAAAACAAAGGGGTCCAGAAGGGATGGACACGCTTCAAGAAAAAGTCTTGAACACACAGGAGCAGGCTGTCCCAGTGTGCTGAAAGGGGAGCTGGTGGGAAGACAGCCAGCCTGGCTGAACTGGGAGATTTTGAAGGAAATTAGGGGAAAAAAAGAGAGCTTACTGACTATGGAAAAAAGTCCCAGATGACTGGAAGTTTGCAAATGTCACGCCGATCCACAAAAAGGGCTGCAAGGAGGACTCAGGAAACTACAGGCTTGTCAGCCTGACCTTAGTGCCTGGCAAGGTTATGGAGCAGATCATTCTAGGTGACATCACACAACACCTACAAGATATACAAGGGATCAGACCCAGCCAGCATGGGTTTAGGAAGGGCAGGTCCTGTCTGACCAACCTGATCTCCTTTTATGATCAGGTGGATGAGGGGAAGGCTGTGGATGTGTCTATCTGGACTTCAGCAAAGCCTTTGACACCATCTCCCATAGCATTCTCCTGAAAAACCTGGCAGCCCACAGCTTGGACAGGGGCATTCTGTGCTGGGTTAGGAACTGGCTGGAGGGCTGGGCCCAGAGAGAGCCAGCAGCCGGTCACCAGTGGTGTCCCCACTGTCCCAATGGTGGGATCAGTGTTGGGCCCAGTTCTATTCAATATCTTTATTGATGATCTGGATGAGGGGATTGAGTCTACCATTAGCAAATTTGCAGGTGACACCAAGTTGGGGGGGCATGTTAATCTGCTGGAAGGCAGGAGGGCTCTGCAGAGGGACCTGGACAAGTTGGAGAGATGGTCTGATTCCAGCGGGATGAGGTTCAACAAGGCCAAGTGCCGGGTCCTGCACTTTGGCCACAACAACCCCCTGCAGCGCTACAGGCTGGGCACAAGAGTGGCTGGAGAGCAGCCAGGCAGAAAGGGACCTGGGAGTTTGGACTGACAAGAAGCTGAATGTGAGCCAGCAGTGTGCCCTGGTGGCCAAGAAGGCCAGTGGCATCCTGGCCTGTATCAGGAACAATGTGTCCTGCAGGAGCAGGGAAGTGATTCTTCCCCTGTACTCAGCACTGGTGAGGCCACACCTGGAGTGCTGTGTCCAGTTCTGGCCCCTCAGTTCAGGAAGGACATTGAGGTGCTGGAGCAGGTCCAGAGAAGAGTAACCAGGCTGGTGAAGGGACTGGAGGAGAGGCTGAGGGATCTGGGGTTGTTTAGCCTGGAGAAGAGGAGGTTCAGAGATGACCTCATCACTCTCTACAACTACCTGTAAAGGAGGTTGTAGCCAGGTGGGAATCAGTCTCTTCTCTCAGGCAACCAGCAGCAGGACAAGAGGACACAGTCTTAAGCTGTGCAGGGGAGGTTTGGGTTGGATATTAGAAAGAAATTCTTTACAGAGAGAATAATCAGACACTGGAATGGGCTGCCCAGAAAGGTGGTAGATTCACCATCCCTTGAGGTTTTTAAGATGAGACTGGATGTGGCACTTAGTGCCATGGTCTAGTAACCATGGTGGTGTTGGATCAAGGGTTTGACTTGATGATCCCAGAGGTTTTTTCCAACCCGGTTGATTCTATGATTCTATGAAAACATTATCAGATCTTTAATCTACTATACATCCTTAATGTCTAATTACATCCTCTCCTGACTGACCTAAATTTACTTTGACCTCCTCTGCCTATTAGCACATAACCTTATGCTAAAAATCAGTATGCGCTGACTTCAAATAAAGCTTCCAACGTGCAAGAGGGAGAAGGGCAGACCAATGGGGAACTGGGAAAATTAGTGGATGATTGTTCTGGCCCTTCTCCCCCAGCAAGTCATTTTCCTCTTGACATTAAAGCATATTTGAATTGTAGGGAAAAAAAGAGTATTCTCTACAGAACAGAACACATAAGCTGATTTTTATGTTTTTCTTTTAAATAATAGCAAGTGGAGTTATTCCTCTCTCCTCAAAGAGATTACATGAGTATATTGAGAACCACATGATTGGATATTTTACCACCACATTTAATCAGTCAGCAGTGAAATGTGGGCCTCCATGCACATGAAATGAAAGCATTAAGTGAAAGCACTGATTTTCATTGTTTGTTAAACTGCAGATCATTTCCTCAGAAAATCATCTGGATGGAGGCATGCAGGGACAGTGAAGGTATGTGCAGTACTTCTTTGGGAATGTATCAGGAATCCAAGCAGTGAGGTTGGGACAATCTGAATGATATCCCACCAAAAGGCCTAGAGATAGGCACGTTTGCTTTAGCAGCAACAAAGCTTTGATTATGCTAACAAAGCCTCTTGACCAGTGCTAAAAGAGCGCAGTTTGTTCTGCTGCTCTTTAACAGATATCAAAGAGGTGACTCAGGATGATTTCACAGCAGTTGGCAGTATTGACATCAAGGCTGGATGCAATCAGGTGATTTTACTATCACTTGCCCAACAGTTCACCATGTTTTTTGTTGTCTGATGCTCTTTTTACAGAAGAAGTAGCTACAGAAACAATCCTGATTAAAATAGATTACTGGTAGGAGGAACGAAAGATAAATTTCCCTCTGGGCTTAGATCTTTACAGAGGTGGCTCTGAAAGGTCACAGGCTTCCTGTAACAGGCATGGCAGCACAGCAGAGTCTGCATTTAACCAGCTGAGTGGGGCTGTAGAGGGAGCCCCTGCTGGTCTAGTGGTTAAGGACGCAGCGCTGTCACCGCCGAGGCCCAGGTTAGATTCCCAGTCAGGGCCACTCCCTGAGCAGATGGAGCTCGTTAGCCCTGTAAGGCAATCCATCTACGTCCTGAGGACCTCGCTGCCACCGTCCAAGCTCGCTTGGCCCCGGCAGATGAACTTTACGATTAAAGGGTGGGCTCAGTTCCGTGCACACTGTGTCTCACCTAAAAAATCCAATGCGCAGGCTGGAAGGTGTAAAGACCTTCCCCGGCTCTTCGTTCACGAAGACTGGCCATTACAGTATTATGGAGCTGTAGATCTCTCTACATGGTGGCAAAGATTGCTGCCCTGAATACTAACCAGCTGCTCTCCTGCTGGATTTGGGTGAGAAGTTAGTTGTAGCAGCAGCGAGAATGGACAGGAGTGGCAGTAAATGTCTCAACCAAAGACAACAGGCAAGAAACCCAGTCTAACAATCCCCTGCTCTCTTGTTAGATAGGCCCAGTCAACATTAGCTATCTCATGTGCCTTCTGCTGCCAGACTCTGTCCCATCCCAGTGTTTGCAGATGCGCTTCAGCATCCAAATAATCCCAAGTGTGAATTCCCAAAACTCAAAGTGATTTTTTTAAGATTGTGCACAGAAAGGTGATGGAAATTTGTCTGCCATTAAAAGCAGCAAACAAGGATTCTGCTACCTGTATTTCCTGTGATCTGTGAGAAGTAAATCACTGAATTTCAGTGCTTCTATTCTCTATACCTATTAAATGGGGATTTCTTTGATCCTTTCCCTGTTTATTTAAGCTTCTCTATCTCTTACTGTGTGTTTGTACAATGCTTGACCTAGTGAAGTCACTTCTCAACACTCATCTTGTAGGTTCTGCTCATAATCCAGACAGCTGCCCAGGTTATTGGTGCCAAGCTGCACAGACTTGCTCAGAGCAAGAGTAGATGAGATGAGAGCGTGATGCCTTGGAGACCTGCTGAAGCACAGGTGACACTGGGGCAGCAGAGAAAGGGCAGGGGCCAGCTCAGCTGAGAAATAAAGCTTTTATGTAATAACATGATGTGAGCAAAAATAGATACCTCACCTCTGCAGCAGAACTGTGCAGGGGTTGCTTTGTTAGGATACTCCTTTAAAGCTGTAACCATGGATGCATATGCATCAGGTCCTTTCCAGATTGGGAGCAGATGCTCTGGGGATTATAAAGGTGAAGGAAAGACAAGGCTCTGCTGTATTTACAAAGGAATAGCAAAATCTTCAGGTAACTCTTTACTTTGACCTGGAAAGTGAGAATATTTGATTTTAAAAGGTATGGCATCTTCTCTGATCTCCCATGTCCTGAAATTTTTCTGCTACTATTGTTAAAGACATGAGGCCTCTCTGCAGTACAGCTCGTTTTGTTTCTGGCAAGTGGTGTTTTCTGAGTGACTCAAGGACTGTGGCTGTTGGTAATTTATTGGATCTTTCTTCTTTTACTACTGAGTTACACTGGGTAGCAGACATCCACTGACACGGGGTCCTGTCCACCATCAAGAATATGAACTGAGAGGACCAGAAAGTGTTCACTGACTACAAATGGAGGGATGAAGATTATCAAGTATCTTGTTCATTTTGAGGCTTTGGTTTTGCATTTAAATGTTATCTCCACTCGAACAAATGTCTTCTGGCTGCTACTGCTATTGGTTTCACAGAATTTCACTGTTCTCTCATAGTGAAAGCTTGGAGTTAGGGCCGCTGTAGTGACTGCTAATGACTATGGTTTTATCTCAACTCTGAATTATCACAGGTCTGAAAAACACAGAAAGACATACATGCCTTATGTGCCAGACAGCTGTGCCTTCAATCAATCCTCTGCAAGGACTCAAAGATGAGTGGTTTGCAGAGAGTGCAGTGGTGCTAACCTAAAAATCCCTCTATCTGCAACTGTGCTGAGATGAAAGACCCTGCAGATGTCAGTGTCCCTAAACAAAAGGGCTGGGCTCTTAGATTGAAACTCAGCAGGATCTCCTAAGACTTAGTAACAGGCTTTCACAGAATGACCTATAGCTTCAGAGGCCTTCCATCCTTAAATTATGAGGAAGAGATGCAACCATTTGTCCTCTTTAAAGCTTTCTGATGCTTCCTTTGAAGATTCAGTTTGCAGCTGCATCTACTCGTGAGCTCTATGCATCATATATTTATCATATCATTTGCCATCTGACATACAAAGTCTTCAAAGCATGAAGAATTCCTTAAATAGATCCTTTCTGTTAACAGTGTGTCCGTGCTTACTTTTTTCTTTACATAAAGAGATATTATTTGTTTTGTTTTTCTTTCCTAGCAGTAGAGAGGCCTTGAATGGAATAATTCAATTAGAAAAAAAATCGATTATGTTTATAGTATCTCACTGCTGCTTCTGCTTCCTAGAGTCCCGCCTGGATTCTTCCTTAATCTTCTCTGATCAGTCGTGGTAGAGGTGAAGAGGAAGGCCTTCAAAGAGGAGATGAAAACTGCAGAGTTTTTTACTCTTGCAGCAGTAGGAATTACTGGCTCTTGCAGTATTGTCTCTATTCAGTGGAGCTAAGTAACGCGATTAAAATCTCAGCTAAAACAATCTGTTCCTCCTCAGGTTTGTTTATCTGCCTTCCTTACTTTGTTTAAAGCCTGCTAAGTAGTGTGGTGTGGCCACAGAGCCAGAACAGGGGAGACCTATATTCTGATAAAATGCTGTGATTTCATCAAAAGGCTTCAAAATGTGTTTTAAAATTAGTATTTTGGCAGGTTTTTATGTGAGTTTATAATTCTACTGGCAGCAGCTTTTTGGTGCCAGATTCTCTGAAAGGCTTCTGCTCTTGGTCAATATTATGAAACTGGAATGTATGATGTGGTTTGTTTGAATCATATTCCCTGTGAGAGGAGAGCAAAAGTGATTTTGCAGGGACAGATTTTATAGGGTCTTCAAAGTGAGTTTACTGTTGTTTCCATCCAAGAATTGAAACTTCGGAGCATGAAAGAAAGCTTTCTGCCTAGAACCCCCATGATTAGCTTGAAATCAATTTTCAAGTGACTTAGCTTCTAAAATTTAGCAAAAAGTAGGCTTAATCTTGCATTCACTGCAGTAGTTTTGAGATTTACTGTTAGCTTAAAAAGAAGACATGGTGAGCTGATAAGATTTAAAAATTCTAGACTACAGCTGAGGAAGGAGCTGAAATTACTGGTCCCCACCCACACAGTGTTTGTCTTCCCTGAAACCTTGTTCTTTCATCCTCCTCTCTTTGGTGTTTTTCTTCTTCCCTTTTTCATCTAATCATAAATACAAGCTTGGGAGCTCCCTAGGATAAGGGTTGGTTTTCCTTTTGCTATAAGGCACTGTAATAGGCTCAGATTTCACACTGAAACTCTCAAGTGTTGAGAATTGAAAGAGTAATTACCTTTTTTTTTTTTTTTCTTACGTTTTAGAAACTGCAACAAATATGCAGTACTTAAGTTCTGCCATCGTTTCTCAGTGGCAGAACTGAAACCTTCATGCAGCAGTTTAGGCTAGCTAGTGAAACTTTCCATGGCCCTGGGGGAAAGAACTCCTTCAGAGGCATTGAAACTCTGAAGTTCTTATCACCTGCAGCCAAACAACTCTGGGCTTGAGAAAAATCCATCTAAAATGCTTAGCTCTCACTCATATTCTGCAGACTGAAGTCTACTTTTCATACCAGAAATCAAAGCAAAGGAGTATTTGCTCTTTCCATTCCCTCCCGTAAAGATGATTTTTAACACCCTCCTGCTTCAAAACATAATTTAATGTATTGGTCAAAATCCAAACATGTTCAGGGGCTGGATGCAGCTGCCACACACCTGGCAAAGCTGTAGACCTGCTATATCATGGGTTTGCATGTGCTACACCTTGGAGTGGTGTTGGGTTGGAAGAGGGCTAAATGCATGTAGGTCATAGCTCAAAACTCCTACTATCCAGTAAAGCTCCAAATGAAAAGCCAGTCAGAAGACTGACCTTCTTTGCAAGCTAAGAATTGGGTCATATATAATTCTGAGTGCAAATTTATGTTTTATTTTTCTGGGCTAGATTAAGTATTTTCCCCTGTGTGCTTGACTCAAGACAGTGATGCAGTTTTTGAAAACCCCTCACAAATACCTCACAACTATAGAGCTAAAACAAAGTGCCTGGGAAACACTTCTGCAGGAAGTGAAGCAAGCAATACAGAGGACGAGGCCAGTGGACTGCACATATGTTCAGTGGGCTTTACCAGTCTTCTGTGGTTTAAAAACACCAAGGTCATTTATCTGCTAAAGTATATATTTGTTTTTCTCCAGGAACATTATTAATCTATTAATTACCTCAATAAAGAAATTATGACTACACTTGAGCTCAGTTATCTGACTAAAATTAATAATAAGTTGTTTCTTTCTTTAAAAAAATAAACACTTCCCTTGTATCTAGGGAGCCAGATACAGCTCGGTCTTTCTTTTTACTCATCTAAGAAAGAGATGCCAGAGAATAGCTATATTCCGTACATGTTTGTTCTGTATGTGACCAGAAGTTTTAAGAAGCACTTGTAAGCTCCCATTATTAGAAGCACTGATAAATCACCCGGCAGTGGTTGGAGAACATCAAACAAAATGTTTGTGCTCTATTTCATTGTCTCAGTGGGGACTTCTATCAGCTGTTACCTCTAAGCACCAAGCTTAAGGAGCTGTGATATTATCACTGTACTACCAACATTATTATATACTGAAGCAGAGACTTTAGATTTTCCACAGCCCTCCTGGGAGCTTAGGCATATCTCCCATAAAATTTTATTTCCATATACTGCAATCTCTATAAAATCTGTTTCTATTGCTGTGATGCCTTTTTTAGGAGAGGTGAGCAACTGAATTTCATCTTCAAGGTGTGCACTTAACTTGATTTACAGAAAGTTATTACAGATCAACAGCCTGCTTGTTTTTAGAGTGGACCCCATTTATTGGATGGGCATCATCTCTCAGCTGTTGCCAAAAGGATTGGAACACATCCAAGAGCCAGCTGTGCTCACACCTCATAGGCACAGGCTCCCTGCTCTAGCCGGCGGCAGGGACAGGCCAATCCCTGCAAATTAGTGGAGCTTCAGCGCTTTGTCTTTTGTGACTGTCTTTGGAAGTCTCTCGTGACAGGTTTCAGGGCACTGCATTTGTCATTTAGGCATTTCATTAACTGTATGGCAAGTCCTACTCTGTGAATTGAGTGTTGTATGCTTCTTCCTGTCCTGGCTCTTCCTTTTGGATATGTACAATACCTGAAGAGCAAAGCATGGCTTTTAAATAAGTAACTGTTGCAAGCAAATGGATTGTTTGGAAATAACTGATTTAAATAAATGTTTCATCCCATAAATACTTAGCAATAAGCCTCAGTCAGAACTTGTATCTTTTTTTTCCATGACAGTAAATTAACTGAGATACAAGTTAACCAAAGAAAAGCCCTCTTAGTTCTGATGTTCAAGGTCTGTTTGTTTTTCCTCTCTTTTACAATTCCAGCAAATCTCAGCACCCTTATGCATGTTAAATAGTTTTAAAATATTTATAAAGTTCTTTACAAAAGAAAAAAATTAATTGCAGTTTTTTTCTTTCTTTCCTTGTTACTCTGTGCTAGCTATATCACAAAGGAAACAGCAGTATCTGTCATATTACTAATATTTCCATTATTATTCTGGAGCGGAGAATATACTCTCACATATTAAATCTAGCTATTCAGAAGCAAAATAAAACAGATGCTGCTCTTGTATTTGTATTTGAAATTGTAGTACTTTTAATCTGCTTGCAAACTGCTCCCATTGTACTGAAGAAAAGTGCTATATTTAAAACTGTGCAACCCTTTTCAGAGGAAGCACTGTGAGGAGATGGCAGCTGATACTGAAATCTCAGCTTGATAGAATTTTAAACTATTTAGAATTACTCTAGCATATGAGAAAAAAGCTCTAAAGTGTCCATGGCTTTTCTGGAGAAAAAAAAAAAAAAAAAGAAAAAAAAAAAGTACTGGGGAAAAACGAAGATCTTGGAACCAGTTCTGTAACTGGTAAGATTTTCAAACAGTAGCATCGAGTAGCCCAGCATTCTCAGCAGAAGAGTGTGACTGACTCAAGTCAGTAGTTCCAGAGGAAAAAAAAGCAAAACAAAACAAAAAAGCTGTCACAAACTCCGGGCAGGGGGTGGGGAACCTGTTGCTGAGGTGAATATAAGTCTTTGGTCAGTGTAAAGCCGTTGAAGAAAATATGCAAGCCAAGGCTTGCTCTTATGTCGTATCACATGTTGGACACTTTGGAATTACTCATGATGCAGAAGTCTTCTCTCATATACTGAAGGATTAAGGTAGGAGGTATTTTGTCCGCTTATTAAAGAAATGTATTTGCTGGGGTTTTTTTTAGTGTCAGCTACTTAGTGGGGTTAAGGAGACTGGAAAACGGGGGTACCTGCAACAATAATGCTTTTTCCTACTTATTAAAACTGCCCCATAACTAGTCATATGTCTGTGTTTGGATTTTGTGACTACTAACTTTGTATTGTATGAAGACAGGATCTGTGCTTAACCTTTATTAATTATACTCTGCCATTAAATGAACAATCAGAGAGTTTGAACAGTCAGAGAATTTTGCTATACTAGTCCTTAACACAAAGATGCTGCTGGGGAAAGCCCTTTTGCTGTCCCACCTGGCCACAGGAAGGAGAAGGTGCTCTACTCACACAAACACATGTACACAAAGTGGTCAGACTGTTCTCTGCAAACACAGAGTCATTGCCACTACAGCCATCCCTTTAGAGAATGAAGCAACTCAATTTCAGAGTATGGAAGGTGGAGATTACAATTTCAGTCACTCTGAGCCAACACTTGCTCAGTGTGACTAAGAACATTTATGAGCTAGTACCACTTTCATTCAGCTAGCACACCTAAGCAGCACTGAAGATGCAACAAAGTGTGACTGTCAGTATCACAGAAGGAGGCTTTTTGTTTGTTAGCCTGCTATGTGGCATTATGTATATTTATGAAAATGAAAGCAGCAAAATGTAAATGTTAGACTTCATGTGAAAGTAGGTATGAAATGAGAAGAAGTTTAATTAACTGGTCTAATCAGAGTCGTAACTAAATTGTAACACACAGTGACTCCATCTCCTAATGCTCTAAGTTTTGTTATTTATTATGAGGAAAAAAATCAGATTTTCTACCACCAACTCCTTTTTAATAATCAAAGCAAAATAATTCATGCAGCATATAAGTTATCATAAAAGAATTCAGCAGATGTAGCAAAGATGATAAAAGGCTTCTTTGTGCAAAACATTTTGTATGTCAGTTTAAGAGATGGTCTTAAGAGCAAAACCTCATGCGTTGCAATTTGTCAGCTATTTCATTCTTACTGCTCATTTTCAAGGAGGTTCTCAAAGTCTGTGGTTAAACTGCTGTAGTATTTTATGTAGGAACTAGATATTCTTTTAGAACCATATAATATCAACTCAAAACAATACTTTTTTAGTTCTAATCTTAGATCTAGGGTATAGTTGAAGAGAAGTAACTTCACTTTTTGAATGTACAATGAAGCTACCATTGGTTACTGTAATAATTATCATTACACATTCACTATTACACATTCATTAATACATATTACATTAGCCTAGGTCTGCTATGTCATTGTACTGAAATGCAGTTGCTTTTTCTGTTTCATACACATTGAGAAATCTGCTCTGTTTCCACATGGAACAGTAAGAACTGGTGGTGTGAGGCTGCTAGACCTGTCTGTTTCATGAAGACGGGGGGTTGGGATCCATTGCTATATGTCAGTTTCTGTAGTTGGTAGGGCATTTTCCTTGCAATAATTTCATCCTCCTTATGGCTTCATCCCTTTGTGTTTTACAACTAATTCAGCTCCATGATGCAGCTGGTTCCTTCCTCTCCCTCCTTCAGCATTTGCTCCTGTGTGCTTCTGTCCTTTACTCTTCGGTACTTCTGGCCGTATGCCCCTGCATCTGCAGTGTATGGGCTCCGGGTCCTTTGTCCAAAGTTTAATTTTTCATTTGATTTGCATCAAATTTGTTACACAGAAGACATGGTGCTATTAAAAAATAACTCCAAGGTGATCAGCTATTGAAATGGATAATGAATGTCATTAACCTATTCTACAGAATTATGGTATTTAATAAAACCAAAAGGAATATTGTGCTTATCTGGACAGGGAATTTCAACCCCACTGACTTTGCTTTGGAAGGAATTTCTCATCTGCTCTGTCACTAGATGTGGTTGTATAAAACAGTCATATCTACTTGAGTGGAATTTACCTTTAAAATGACCAGCACTAATGAAAGCTCTGATTTAATGTCCTGCTACAGTGAACCTCTCATGAACTGCTAGCTTTTAATTTCCATGAATTGCTATTTCCATATGAAAGACAGTTTCTCCTGAAGAATATGTAAGACTTGCAAGTAGATGTTTGATGATCCTTTGCATTTTTGTTATTATCCAGGCACTGCGAGATAGCTCCTGCAGTGCATTAGGTGATGTGTATTAAAAGGTAACCTAAGTCTCTGCCGAGTAATAATATTTAAATTTCCAAGAATCTTACCTTTCCACTGTATGCCGATTCTTTCTTGGCAACATTTCAACCAATTTCATGGTCCGCATCCGTAATAAGGACTATCTGAGTTTCACAGAGTCAGTTAATCACTGCAGCATTGGAAGCCGGATCCTTTCAAACCTGCCCTGAACCAAAATTATCCCTTGACCATTCTGGAATTAAAACAAACAAACAAACAAAAAACAAACAAACAAAAAACCAAAACAAAAATCTACTTTACCATAGTGAGGTAAGCTGCACTTTACCAAGTACTACTTCTTTTTCTTGAAACACAAAGGTTTGTCCGAGGCTCTCTTCTGTGTGGAAAATATTTACAGACTATGAAACATATGTAGAAAATAATATATTACTATTTACCCTGGCAAATTGGAATTCAGGAAAGGGGAGAAGATTTTTAGCCCAGAGAAGCTGAAGTTGTAGTTGTTTTCATGAGCTGAGGAATGCTGAGACAGAAAGAACTCAGATTCGTAGCCATTTGATAGGAAATGAGAAAAGTATAAATACATGAAATGACCCCAACATAGAAATTAGGTACCTCCTTATTTTGCATTAAAAAGTCTGCATGTGGCTCAAGCCTTTTTTCATTGTTTCCTCTTATGTGTATCTTGCACTTATTTTCAGCTGTCATCTAAGATCAGTCTGCCCCCCCCCATTTAGCTACACACTTGAAAAGAAAATAAGTACACTTCTTTCTGTACACCTCCTTCATTCAAGACTTCTACAGGATAATCAAAGCCTTGCTTCACCCTTACCTTCAATTATCAAAGTTTGAATGTGTCAACTCTCCTACACTCCCACTAATTTAGATACCATTACTCCATAACACCTGGAACACCTGCCCAGTCTGTATGTTTGACTTCTAAAGCAGCAAGAAGTATATAGGAGGAGTTGATCAACTTGGATTGTTATTTAATAGTTGTTTTGCAGAAATGCCTACAGGCATTAATTAAGATCAAGGTGCAAAACACTAGGAAGACTCACAGTGAAAAACAGTCCCAGTTCTGGAGAGTTCATAGCAAGTTACAACAGGCAGATGCAATAAATTAACTGTAGGGAGTGTCTAAGCATTTTCTGGAGAGCATGGATTGTTTTCATGTATATATTTACAATATATACAAATGCTTATGTTCCCAAAGATGTTAATTTCTATTTATTCTTAAAATGACCTTCCCGATGTCATAAAACTCTTCTTCCAAAAAACTGCATAATCTATCAGATTCTAACACCTGGTGTGCTGGATATGCTATACCTTAGAAAAACATCAGTTCTGTATTCCTCCCTTTTCAAGGGCACTGAAATATTATGAACTGACTGCTGTACAGCAGAACAAGAGATAAGGTCAAGCTTTATGCATTTTATGTTTAAAATTTAAATACCTCCAGTAAGGGTAGAAGCTGGCCAGTACCCCTTCTTGTGGAATTAATTGTGAAATGTGTTATGATAAAGCTGTGTAAAGTTTGAACGGATCTTGGTAACAATCAGACATTATGATTTAGAAAAGTGTAATATCTAATAGGCTTATTTTTCCATTAAAAATAGGGGATACCTAATTTTGTAGGTGGAGATAAAGGTAGATTTGATTTATTTCAGCCTGTCAAGTTTTATGAATAAATCTATTATCTCCAGTAATATTCCTTTATAAGGTATTTCTAGCTGGATTCTTCCAATTTAAATTACTGAAAACCATCCATGAAATAAAGGCCAACTTTTACCATTATGATAAACATTTTTCTATTACATTGTATTCTGTGCAGTTCTTTATGTTATTCAAAAGTAGTGTAAAATATTGCCAAATCAGAAACCTTACCAGTTGTCCCTCAGGGGTAGTAACTCACCCCTCCTTTCCACAGAAGTAAAATCACCTTCCTATACGAATAGACCACTTCCTCCACAGAGAATCATCTGCAAGATCAGGATGTAAATAACTAACAAAGTTTAAAGCAGTGAAACATTAATCTCAGATGTAAGCAAATTAGAATTTTGTTATTTTTTAGTAGTTCTAGAATGTGTATCTTAAAATTTCAATAACATGAAACCTTGCCTACAGCACATGGTGGAATTTTTGTTACTATTATATGTCCCTTCACTATTAAGTTACTTCTCTTTTATATAAAATTCTCTGATATTTAAAATACAGACTACAACACTTTCAAAGGGGAAAACAAGAAATATGATTGCCTGAATATGCTTATAATTTCATCCCTTTTCAGCAGCCACACCAAGACATCTTAAATTCTTCTAGAAAAGAAACCAAGACTACTATTGAAAATACCACTTCTTTTTTTCACTGGAGCCCAGCTGGTCAGATTTGGATGGTTGCCCAGAGAAGCTGTAGGTGTCCCATCCCTGGAAGTGTTCAAGGCCAGGTTGGATAGCGCTCTGAGCCACCTGGTCTAGTGGAAGGTGTCCCTGCCCACAGCAGGGGGCCTGAACGAGATGATCTTGAAGGCCCCTTCCAACCCAAACTATTCTATGCAAACTATGATTGCAGTACAAAGTAGAGAAACTTGAATTGGTAGAGCAGCACATTAGTTTTAGTTAGCATTTAAACATATGCTTTTATCAAAAAGATAGATTGATTAAATTTTTATCCAAAGATGAAGACTTCTGTAGCATGCTCTGCTCTGAAGCTAGTGTGTCTGATCCTTCTTGGTGTTATTTTACACTGAGCTGGTGTACATCCAACACAAGCAGGAATAACCATCTACATTGCCACAGCTGTATAAAAACTACGGTGGCAAAGGCACTAAGGGAAAAAGCTGTGGAAAGGAATAGAACAATGGCAAGATAGCATAGGTATACTCCCCAGGCCTCCTCTAAAACCTGTATGCCCTGGAAACAGTAAATGTGTCATCAGACATTAGTAATTATTTCTGGGAAAGACTACACTGCTCTAATCAGGCTGCGATATTAAAATAAAGGATTATTTAACATATCCCTGTGCTGTGGGAAACCTTCCTCGTAACTAAGCTACGTGCCGCTGAGTGTTCACTCTGACCCGAGCACTGCTGCCATCTCTGTGTGCCAGGAGTCTACCAGGACCTCCTGATCCACTCCATTATTCCCGGCTCCTCCCGTGTCTCCCGTTTCGCGGGGACAGGCGAAAGGCAGGCACAGTACGTGCAATAAGCGGCCAGAGCCGGACTTGGGGCCGTGGGGCACTTGTATTCAGGCAAACACTGCAGAGAACCCCGCCGATAGCGCCGCACCGAGTCGCTCAGCGCACAGGGCGCGGTCGGCCCGGCCGTGCCGCAGGTGCGCGGGAGGCACCACCCCGGGCAAGCGAGGCGGAGTGACAGCTCCGACAGCCAATGAGCACACGCGCCCTGGGCGGAGAGGCGGAGCGCCGCCAGGCCGCCTCCTGGGCGGGTGGGAGGGAGTCGGAGTGACAGCACCCAAAGCCAATGAGAGTGCGCGCTTCCGGTGGAGAGGCGGGGCGCTGAGGCCAGCGGAGGGGCGCCCCCGCCCGCCGCGGGGGGAAGGGGCTGCCGTGGGCGGAGGGCGCGGCCGCCGCAGCATTCCCCGAGCGACCCATGTGAGGCGGCAGCTTCGCCCTGCGGGGGGGCAGAGGGAGTGAGCGGGGCCGCTCAAGGCAGGGCGTGGGCGGGGAGCTCCCGGCCGCGCTCGGGCGGTACGGCCCGGGCTGTGCGGTGAGTGGCCGGCGCCGCCAGCCAATGGGCGAGGCGGAGCGCGCCTTCGTTCCCACCCCTGAGCGCGGCGGGACCAATGGGAGGCGGCGGGGCGGGGCGCGCGGGGCTAGCCGCGCGCTGGGAGGCGCCCGCACCACCAGATGCGGGGGAGAGTCGTGCAGGCGGTGGTAGTGGCAGCACGAGCGGCGGCGCGTGCGGCGGAGCGTGCGGCGGAGCGGCGCGCGGGCATGGGGGCGCGGGCAGCGCGCGCCTCCCGGCGCTGAGGCACCAGCGGTACGAGCGGGGCGGGGGGGCTGCAGGGGCAGCCCGGGGGCCGGAGGGGCGCCAGCGGCGGGCGGGAGGGAGGGACGGACGGACGGACGGACGGACGGACGGACGGACGGACGGACGTGTGCTGTTCCGCGTCGCGCTGCTGCCCGCGGCCGCGCCCGCAGTCGGGGCGGCGGCGCTGTGGCCGGCGCGACGCAGGCGGAGCGGGGTCTAACGACGTTCGTGTTGTTGTCAGGATCCGAGCGCAGCCGCGGGAGCCGCCTCTGCTGGTGGCAGCCTGCTGTCACCTTCCCTGCTGGCAATGGGGAATGGACTCTCGGACCAGACGCCGATCCTCTCCAGCCTGCCTTCCTTCCAGAGCTTTCACATCGTCATCCTGGGGCTGGACTGCGCCGGGAAGACGACGGTGCTCTACAGACTGCAGTTCAATGAGTTCGTCAACACTGTCCCCACTAAAGGATTTAATACTGAGAAAATCAAAGTGACACTGGGCAACTCGAAGACGGTCACTTTCCACTTCTGGGATGTGGGCGGCCAGGAGAAGCTGAGGCCGCTGTGGAAGTCGTACACAAGGTGCACCGATGGCATCGTGTTTGTGGTGGACTCCGTCGACGTTGAGAGGATGGAGGAGGCCAAAACAGAACTTCATAAGATTACTAGGATATCTGAGAATCAAGGAGTGCCTGTCCTTATAATTGCTAACAAGCAGGACTTGAGGAACTCCCTCTCCCTTTCTGAAATCGAGAAGATGTTGGCAATGAGTGAGCTGAGTTCTTCAACACCCTGGCATTTGCAACCTACCTGTGCAATCATTGGAGACGGACTCAAAGAGGGACTGGAGAAACTACATGATATGATAATTAAGCGAAGGAAAATGCTGAGGCAGCAGAAAAAGAAGAGATGAGTTCTGTTTTGACCTTTCTATTTTAGAGTAGTTACATGGTCAAAATTTGACGTAAGACAGCTTCCAAACCCAGGCCTGCCTGTTTGGATGCCGTTAAGCTTAGTTACGTTAAACAATCAGTTGCACAACCTTGCTATGTGGAAGGAAGGCTGTGCAGTTGTGGAACTTTTTTTTTTTTTTTTTTTTTTTTTTTTTTTTTTTTTTTTTTTTTTTTTTTTTTTTTTTTTTTTTTTTTTAATTTTATTTTTAAACTAGTCTCTTCTGAGTTTTATGGCTCTGTATTATTTCAGAAGCCCTAATAGATGATGTAATGCTATCAGGAAATGGATGTCTAAATAGCCAAATAAAACGAGGGTTTTCTGCTTAGTGTTGTACTCATATGTTTGAGGGTGCCCTCTGCAAGCAGATTGCGTTGAAGGTGTTCGTATTTTTAAACTTCTAATGCTCGTAAGTGGAGTGCTTAGGTGAACATTATACAGCTTTAAAAACATGTATAAAGCTAGTAACCCATAATTCCATTGAGGCTGTTTTTTACCTTGTTTGGGATTTCCATGAAAGCTTGGCCACGTGTAGGTTTGGTTTTTTGTTTTTTGGTTTTTTTTTTTTTTTTTTTTTTTTTTTTTTTAATTTGGCACATTTTGAAATTGAGTCATGTTCAGTTCAAATACTTGAAATTTTAAGTGCTGTGGATTCTTCAACTCATAAAAGAAAGACTTTGACAAGTAAAAAATGTAAAGAACACACTGGAGCATGAAAAAGTGGTTTCCCAACATATAGCATGTTTTTGATATGTAAGGTTTTTATTTTTTAGAAGTAGCCATTCATCATTATACAGTGCTAATCAGGTTTAAACTGTTACTCAAAATTAGTAATTTATTTCTGAATGGTGAGTATTATGTCCTCCCAGTATGAAAGTAAAAGTCAACCAATTGCAGTAAAGGAGCTATAGAGAACAGTTCTGGCCGCCGTGGTTCTAACCAGTGCAGCATTCTTTGCTGTACTGGTGACTTCCTGGCAATATAACATAATGAAGTAAAGGTGGAGTTAAAATTAGCAGACCACATCTTGTATCTCCCCAAAATACTCCGTTTTATTAAAGTGGTATTGCTGCGTCACTTTCAACATATGCTTTTTTTATTGTGACTCTTACAGTATTTTGTGGTTAGGAATGTAATAATTCTTTGTACACTCAAACATTAGACACTACCGGGGGCGGGGGGTGGGGGGAGGGAAAGGGGGAAGAAGATTTTCAAGATGGGCCTGTGTTCTGCTTTAATTATGCTTTAAGCTGTTCTTGTTTACAGAGTGTGCAAACAGTGTTAACTGGGCAGGATAGTGCTTGACAGAAAAGGGAGGGTAGTTTTTCTTACTGGTACAGAGCTTCAAGTGACTCTCTAGATACTTGGTTAGCAATTAAAAGGGCTAAAACAGAGCCTGGATTTTTAAGACTAACTTTAGTGGTGCTGTAAAAATTCATCAGAATGTTAGATTATCTTTAAACTTTTGTTGGAAATACCAGATTAAAGAAAAAAAAAATTAGCAAAATCTAGTTCCTCCTCTTGACCAGCAAAGTAATGTTTTTCTTACCTGCTGCCATGTATGAGGAGGATGACAGCTACAAATCTGAATGTCAATCTATGTTATTTAGCTATGTTTAAAAAAAGAAATCAAACTTTTTAACCAGCAGCTGTTCGACCAGGAGGTAACCAAAAATGCACTTTAGTGTCTTCAATAACTGAGAGTGACAGCTGTTTGTTTTTTTAATGATATCTTGGTCCTTTTTGAATAAACTGAAGTAGCTTCCAGTGGAGCTTTTGTATGGTGGTTATATATGTACCTGCACTGGTGACATTGTAAGTCACTTACTCAAGTAATGTCTATATTTATAGAAATGTGGATGACTTCTTAAACCTCAATAAACAATTCAAAACAAGCCTGCAGAGAGAAAGTGTCTGACTTCTTGTACTGCAGTGGTACATTCTCACTGACCTCTGTGCACGTAGTTCTGCTGTTATTAGAATTAGTGTTTCTGTTGAAAACCAAGGTCATATAAATGTGGTGAGGTTCCTAAATGTCATGGTGTTAGAAATTGGAGGTATCCAATTGAAAAGTTAAGACCAATGGCATGTCTGTATATTCAAAGGAAAAATACTAGCTGCAGTGGCTCCTTTCTGAAGTGATAGATCTTGCATAATTTGAGAAGTCTCTTATATAGCTAAACCTCTTTTGTTATGTGAAATGTTTAATAGGCAATATTGGGCATATATCACATGTACTCACAGGTGGTTCTTGATTTAGTGTCTTTAGGCTCGTGTATCTGAAGCTGTCTGAGGGATTCACGTGTACTTAAGCCTCCTTGGATTTTAAAGCAGTGAGTAGCATGTGTCCAGATGGGAAGCTTCTAATTGGTTTAAGGACCAAAACAGAGACAAGATGAACTTTGTTTAGCCTGCAAATGAAAATGGCCAAGTTTGAACAAGAATATCCAAATCTGTGTCTCAAAACCTGAATATTTTCTGTTTGTGTAACTGCTCGCACATCACAATGGAGGTTACTATTAATCTAGAGGAAAAAGCTATGTGAGTGATGCTGAACCTGTGAATTTGGCATGTAATTGGTATAATCTGGCTAATATTTTCCTTCCTTTCAGATATGCTGTACTATTAGGTGAAGTGGAAGGCTGGCTCTTTATACCCAGTAAACTGTGATAGCATATACTAATTGCTTCATTTTCAGTATTCATTAGGCTTCTATTGGGAATAGTTGAAAAGTCATACTGCTTGAAAAAAACCCTGTTTTGTACTGCATATTAAACATGCTAGTGTTTTATCTGGTGGCTGTCTCTCTAAACTCTTCTACACATAAAAACAGCAATGAATGACTTTATTAAAAAGATGTGATTGATCTGTACTCTAGCACTGGAGGAAAAAGAGAAGGTGGAGGGTAGTGTTTCTAAACTGTTATGGTTATTAGTGTTAATACTGACTTGGAAGTAGAAGACTGGAGGATGAGTTTTACCTTGTAGGCTATACCTTATCTGTACTAGAACTGTTTTGCTGGAATTTTACAGTAACAATTCTGAATACAATACACAAGTGTAGCTGTACCTCTGAAACTGGGTTTTGTATTACTATGGCAAAGTCTTCAGCTATGAACAAAACAGGGATGGCAGTACAGTATTCAGTATCGTAACTCATTGAGTTTCTGCTGGCACAGTCCTGCCAGCCTGGGGTAATTTTCTTCTGTATGATGAATCGTCAGTTCTGGCCTAAATACTGGTATGTGTTAGAAAATGTTTAGAGGAGCTGAATAAGCAGATGTCATTTTGTTACAATGCTGAAATTACACACCTTAAAATTTAAAATACTGTTTGCTAAAAAGACTACCCATGATGCTCTGTTCTTCAAGATGCAGTCATTTACAGTTAACCAGGCTTCAGTGTCTGGTCTCTGTTCTAACTGCCTAGCTGTGTGTTAGCTTAGGACTGCATCAACTAGGAAAAATGCTGTAGGATGATGAGACTTTCAGGTTCTAACATCACTTTTGTGTTTCACCGAATGTGCACTTACATTTGAAAAAAAATGTGTTTTCCACCAGGTAACAGGTGAAGACTTTCTCACTTCAGATTTTCATGTATTATTGAGACACGATTAATCCTTTTTGTGGAAAGCAATACTTGCAGCCACTTATGGTTCCCAGCCTGACTTGGGTGCTTCTGTACCACTCTACACAGCACTTTGGTCCTACAGGAGTTCATTACCCAGGACTCAGAGCAGGGTAATGATATAATGAATATAATGATATAATGCTGAAAGCATTAAGACCCCTGCAGATCTGAGTGAAGGCAGTTCTGTGTTCTTGGTGGGGTTATCAGCATCTTGGATAATTTCTTTACAAATAGCAGGGTGTTAATTAGTGTCTGGCTGAAACTTTGTTGAGAGCTGAGTGTCATTCTTGACAAGAGGATTTAGATACTGCACTGATGCTACAAAGAACTTGGTAAGGCAGAATGTGGACAATCTCATCCACTATATATAGGGCACTGGCCCTGACATGCCGTCTTGAGTCAGCTGTCAGAGCGCAGTGCATGAAAGCTAGCAAATGTTTGCTCATAGTGCTGCCTAACTTGTGAGAGAGAAATCTAGGCATGAATCAGTGCTTTTAGGATCAGTGTTTTCACTTTACTGGTGGGTGACTCATCTTTTGAGAGGGTCACAGTTTACAGCCTGCTCTGATAGATTCGTGTCCCCAAGCCAAAACAACCCTTGTTGCTGCTGGGAGGGATGTGTAGATGTTTGTTTAGTCTGAGGGATGAGGAAAGCATTTTTTTTTTTTTTTTTTTTTAATCCTGACTGACATAGGTATGTGGAGGCCTGCCTCTCATGCTGCTCTGCAGGCTGTGATTATTTTTAGGAGCAGTATGAGACTGCAGAGCTGTGTGAATAAACTGAAGGGAAATACACAGGCTGGCTTCGCAGCAGGGTGATGCCGGGGGTTGTCATGTGGGCTCCCACAGCCATCCTTCCTATTTGAGAACAAACTAAAGGGCCACTACATAGCTGGTACCTTGCCCTTCATTAAAGCATTAGTCAGACTCCTTAAACTAGCTGTAAAGAAGCAAAAATGCAGTTTTAAAAACCTAGCTGAAAAACGTCCCACACCGCAAATGAGAGACTTTCATTTTCTCCCTACTGGTGTCCTGTTCTATTGGTGCTGGCTGAGAGTGAGCCGAGGGACCAGTGGGTGGGTGTTACTGCCTGCAGCCTGCCTGCTCACTGCAGGGCCGAGTAACCACTGATTTTATTCAAAGGCAAACACAAAATCTAAGGAGAAAAAGTAGGCAGGGAGGCTAGACAGTACTTCTAGGCTAAATACCTGCTTGCAAAGGGCTCAAGAAAGTAAGAGATAATAATCCCTGGGCTTTGAAGATTATGGTTTCTTAGTTCCAGCTATATTTACACAGCTGCTCCACAAGAATTAAGAGCTAAAGATGACAGAATAGTTAGGAAGGAGAAGGTCAAGTACAGTTGTTGACTGTGGAGTGTGTGGAGGGAAAGAAGATTTGAAACTTGTTTTTTTCCTAGCTTTTCAAAACACATTGAGCCCTAGGGAAAGAGTTGTGCTTTTAAACTGCTTAATTGGTTCAAAATCTTTATTATTTTATGCACTGCAGTTTTC